AATCCAGGGGTTCCTCAATTGAAGGTCACAGAGACCGACCAATACTACACCGATCAGCCACAACATTAAAGCCACTGACAGGTGACGTGAATAACATAGATCATCTCATTTTACATTAGCATCTGTCAGCGGGTGGGATATGTTAGGCAGTAAGTGAATATTTTCTCCTTGAAGTTGATGCATTGGAAACACAAAAAAATGGGCAAGTCAGGATCTGAGCGCCTTTGACAAGGGCCAAATTGTGATAGCTCCAAGACTGGTTCCGAGCATCTCCAAAACTGCAGCTCATGTGGGGTGTTCCCAGTCTGCAGTGGTCAGTACCAATCAAAAGTGGTCCAAAGAAGGTAAACCAGCAAGAGGATCGTGGGAGCCCATGGCTCATTGATATACGCGGGGATTGAAGGTGAGCCAGTTTGCTCTGATCCCACGGAAGAGCTGCTGTCGCACAAATTGCCGAAAAAATTCATGCTGGTTCTGATAGAGAGGAGTCAGAACAAACAGTAAGTCACAGCTCACTGTGTACGGGCAGTGTAGCTGCGGACTGGTCAGGAAGCCCATGCTGACCCCTGTACACTGCCGAAAGGGCTTACAATGGCCACATGATCATCAGAACTCGACCAAGGAGCAATGGAAGAAGGTGACCTGGTCGGATGAATCACATTTTCTTCCACATCATACGGATGGCTGGCTGCATGTGACGCTTACCTGGGGAAGACGTACCAAGCGGTGTGATACTTTGGGCAATGTTCTACTGGAAAATCTTGGGTCCTGGTATTCATGTGGGTGTTACTTTGACATGTGCTACCAACCTAAACATTACTGCATATATAGTACACCCCTTCATAACAACGGTACTCCCAGATGGCAGTGACCTCTTTCAGCAGGATAATGTGCCCTGACACCCAGCAAAAATTGTTCAGGAACAGTTTGAGGAACATAACAATGAGTTCAAGGTGCTGCCTTGGTCCACAATGTCCCCAGATCTCAATCCAAACAAGCATGAGTGGAATGTGCTGGAAAAACAAGCCTGATCCATGGAGGTACCACATCACAACTCACAGAACTTAATGGGTCTGCTGCTGACATCTAGGTTCCACATATGGCAGGACACTTTCAGAAGTCTCCTGAACTCCATGCCTCGACGGGTCAGTGCTATTTTGGCAGCAAGAGGAAAGTTCTACACACTGGTTTACGGTGGTTTCGCTACTTTGGCTTTTCGCTGCTGCTCACCGCTCTTTTGCTACAATGTCCAAGTCCATTAGCAACTATAGATAAATGCTAGTGAAGAATATAAATATGACATGAGAATCAGTAGTAAAACTTTATAAAAACCATTCGCATTACAGCTGAGAATATTTTTTCGGGTTCTGACTCAATACAGAAACTCAAACAAAGATCGAATGGGCAACAAACCCTTTGTTTGATTATAGCAGAGAACGGACTTGGACTTTAGCTACTATGTCCAAGTCCGTTCCGAGTGCAGCAGCAAAAGTGCGGTAGTGAAAACCCAAAGTAGCGAAACAACCAGTTTCCAACACAATATTAGGTAGGTGTTTTTCATGTTGTGGGCGGTGGGTGTGAATAATTGTGATCCTTTCTGTCAGGTTACGCTGTGGCTTCGTGAAGCTCATGCTCCTTCTGTCTGTTAATCCAGTGGTACAGTCCAAGACCGCGTGGACTCTCCTGGATGGCTCGCCTTCTTAACGACAATCTGAGAGAGCGATCGATACTCTGCTATCTCATTACTGTCTCGCTGTGGAGAGAGGCTTTCTGATGGGCGTCTGTGCACCTGAATGCCCGATAGCAACAGTCTCTGCCGGCAAACTTGCTATTCCTGCTCCCTCCACATTCTCAAGGGCCGAGAGCCATTAAAGGACTTATAAGTTATTCTGCAGGAGAACAAAATAGAACTCAAATCAAGCGTGTGTGGTTTTAGAGCTTTAGTTTAAATCTGACCACAATAGCTGCTTATATGTGGACCAGGAGGGATACAGTGAACCCTCCCTTGTTAAGTCAAAAGATCCGTAACTGATTTCAGGATTAAAAGGGGCTTGCTATAACACAGCACCTCACTGTCTGATTCACCTAATTAGCCCTGATAAGCAATGTTTACCAAAATTTTTATTTTTAGTTAAATCCTGATTTGGGGATTTTGCGGAAGATTCGTGGTGACGGAACCCCCTCGGCCAAAAATCCAGCAAGGCCTTTCTGAGCGGAGTTTGCGCGGTTCTCCCCCATCACCACATGGGTTGTCTCTGGGTTCTCCGGGTTCCTCTAACTACCAAAACACATGAATATTACGCCACTAGGAGTGATGTTAACCCTTAGAGCACAGAGATAATTTTTAAAAAAATATATAAATATCAAAATCAAAGCTGTTGAAAACCTATCATGTGGCGACTTGTTTAAAAGAGCTCCCGCAGGGCAGCTCTTTTAAACAAGTTGCCACATGATAGGTTTTCAACAGCTTTGATTTTAATATCTTACATCATTGAGCAACAATTACTGCGCTGAGCGCTCTAAGGGTTAACTGGTTGGCGCAGTGAACGAGCCAACAAAATAAAACAAACACAGTACACATAAAAAAGATACGCAAGGCGTCCAGTGTAGGCAGGGTAAACCTGAGCCTGGAGAGAATGAGGAGTGTAGAGTACAGGAGGAAAAGCCGTTATGATGCCGTGTCTGAAAATAGCTCTGAGATAGAGAGGGAGAAGAGAATCCTGTTTGGCCCCGGGCCCTTTTACTACTCCAGATGCGAGAACCGGATACAGGGTGAGCCCGGCTACCAGGAGACAGTCAGTCAGTCATGTGACTCTCCGTCTGTCGACATATACATCGCTCTCTCTCTCTCGCACAATCACTTCCATCTCCCTCCTCTACACCCCCTCTCTCTCTCTCTCTCTCTCTCGCGCAATCACCTCCATCTCCCTCCTCTACACCCCCACTCTCTCTCTCCCACTCTTCCAATCTCTCTCCCCCCTTCTCTCTCTCTCACAATCACCTCCATCTCCCTCCTCTACACCCCCACTCTCTCACGCTCTCTCACTCTCTCCCACTCTTCCAATCTCTCTCTCTCCCCTTCTCTCTCTCTCTCACAATCACCTCCATCTCCCTCCTCTCGCCCCCCTCTCTCTCTCTCTCCCACTCTTCCAATCTATCTCTCTCCCCCTTCTCTCTCTCTCTCACAATCGCCTCCATCTCCCTCTTCTACACTCCCACTCTCCCAGGCTCTCCCTCCCCCTCTCTCTCCCACTCTACCAATCTGTCTTTCTCTCTCTCTCCCACTATACTAATCTATGTCTCTCTCTCTCTCCTTTTCACCCTCTTTCTGTCATTTCTGTCCATCTCATACCTCTCTCCTACTCTCTCTCTCAATCAATTTCCCTTTCTCTTTCTCTCCTGCTCTCTCTGTTTCATCCTTTGCAGCAGTAAGGACTATAAAACCGAGAGCAAGTTGAGTCATATAAAAATACAATACAGACATAGCAGGCATGGACCTTTACTGCACAAGTGGGTGTAAATTTCTTTGCTCAGTTCAGGAAGGGTAAGTACCCCGTTACTGAAGTCCAATTCCCCCAGGGAGGAGAACTACAGGTTCTCCACATTCCCTTTAATTGGGATTTGGGGGTGGAGTCAGTCTGGCCAATCAGTAAAACTTCCAATTCCGTTAGTTACACAGAGTGAAAGAAAACCAGGGGCACACTGGGAATGAAGGGCGAGATTTGGGGAGGTTTAGCTCACAGGCAGGCCTGAAATTGATAGCGTCAATGGTTGCCTCCTTCAGCAAAGAGAGCAACAGCAGACTAATTCCTTCCAAACAGTCTTCACATTACTGTCCTGACTGAATTAAGTGATGGTTTATATGAATTACAACTTCTCTGATCTATATGCTGTGTATCTGTTTCAATGACCTTGACTCATGCACTTGTGCATTAAATTTGTCTGCAGAACTAGACAATTGTTGTCAGTGGACAAAAGCAGGGTAAATCATAGTAATTACTGCATTCTCTTCATGGGCAAAATTCATAATTAGGCCTAATGGCAGCACTACAGGAGAGGGTATAGGGTCCAGAAGATCAACATGAGAACTACTGTAGGCGCCAGGAATGATAACAGCAAATTTTACCCCACTCCCATTTAAAAAAAAAAACTGTTTGACTTATTTCATTTTTGAAAAAGTTAAGTTTGGCCAAAAGTTGGTGCAACAGGAGTGGCCATAGTGTCACCGGAACAATAGGGTCGTACTTTTTTGCACTTAGACTTTCACAGCAAAGTTGATCTGATTCCCATTAGAACTGTTTTGACTTATTACATTTGGAGATGCAGTTTCACTCAATGGTGGTGCTTCAGTAAAAGTCATAGAGAAATCAAAATAAATACAGTTCCTCCTTAAAGTGGAAGCCTTAAGCTTCTGAGGGCCCATTTCGAAAGCTAACGAACCCCCCCACCAAAAAAAAAACCTAAAAGAAAAACTGAAAGATTCAAGTTGGTTCGCATCAATAGGATTCGCCATCTATGCACCAGGAATGAACACAAGAACTTTCATGCGATTCCCATAAAAATTGATCTCTATATAGTGCTAAAACACAGGATCTGTGGCAGTGGCATCCAAGGCAAATCCATAATATCCCCAAAAACTCAGTTCTGTGGATATATGCGATGGAATAATTTTAAAACACTGCATTAAAACTTTTTACTGCGTCTGATCTACTGGTCCTGCCCTAGCAAGGCAGCATCCAACCACAGAGTACAGCAATATACCTTCTCAATCGCTTTCTTTCTTAAACCTTTATTTAACTCAGAAAATTCCAGCAAGAACGTGTTTCTCTATATAAAAGACACCCCGGGAGAAATTCCGGCAGATAAAACAGTTGCAAGTAAGGAAGAAGAGAAACAGGGATTAAGCCACTCCAGCAATCTTTTGGGGTCAAGGGCCTCGCTCAAGGGCCCAGTGACAGAGTTCTTCCAAACGTCATCTCTCCAGATCTAGTCAGAATCCCAGGCTCCACTGAGGGCTTGAACCAGACACTCTTCAGTTATTAGTCGAGCGACCTACCACTAGGCTACACAGCCACCCCAGAGAGTCTCTCTCACTCCCTCACTCCCCCTCTCCTTTTCTCCCTCTCTCCTTCTCTCTCTGACATTTCCAGCAGATGAACAAAAGGGTATGTGATGAGGGGGACAGAATTCCCTCTGTGTTTTCACGTGTGATGGTTCTGCTCTTTTACCTCCAGGCAGGTCGGCCGTGTGTCTGAAACTCCGCCAGTGGCTTCGTTTGGCCCTGTGAGATGTGTCATGAAAGCTTCTTTGTCCTTTCACGAGTGCGGTCATGAGATGGGGGGCCTGAATCAGGTGGAGCTAAAAGACTGCCGTGTCTCGAGGTTCTCCCTCAGGAACAAAGGGTTCTTCTGCCTGCCTCCGAAGAGGAACCCATTTTAACCCTTTAACTGCCTGCTCAACTTTTTCGTAAAGCACATTTTGAGTCACTGTATCTAGTTGAAAGATGTTTTGAACTTTACTGATTGGTTTTTTTCTATAACATACCTCAGCCGAGCGTTAGAGATGGCTCAATCAGGTTGCATTCAGATCAACACATCTTTCAATTAGATACACTGACTAAAAATGTACTCTACCAAAGGCTGAGGCATTTAAAGGCTTATGTTCTTTATAGAACCCTCTCTCATGCGTATGAAAAGGCAAAGCTCCCAGATAAAGAGAAATTTCCCCAGACAAAGAACCCCTGGACCCTTCAGGGTTCATCAATAGGATCACAGGGTTCCCTAGTGCAATGCGACTACGTTCCAGCAAAGACCAAGACACCTGTCACTTAATCACTGAACTGGTACGCTTTTGTCCATAAAAGCATGTGTGTGGATCACCACTGTAACCTCATTCTCAGCAGCTGATATGGTGGCCATGTGACCAGACCGGAAAAGAGGGGACAAGCAGAGAGACAATGCTCATCATCTCTCGTTTTCTGAAAATGAAGCCCTTACGTTCGGTTGACGAAAAGGCTGTTCATTTCAAACCCAATAAAAACTGTTTTTGATGTGTCTGGAGCAAGTGGAATTGAGCATGGTGATCCGAAACCCATCATAATTCGGCGACAACTGTTTTAAACAAGTTGCCACATGATAGGTTTTCAACAGCTTTGATTTTGATATCTTACATCATTGAGCCACAATAGCTGCATTTAGCGCTCTAAGGGTTAATAAGACGAGGACTGGGCTCGGCAGCAGGTTTCCACAATCGTGCGGAAGTTCTGAATATGAGAGTTGTAGGTTTAAATCTCACACTGAGACAGTGCTGATCTCTCTATTAGCAAAATACGTTTGCCAAAATATAATCCCGTCAAGAGTGAGATGATAATACATAATTGATTATAAGTTTCTAACCAAGGCATTCAAATGCCTTACTTGAATATCACTACTGACAAAAAAGTAAAACCAGTTAAAGATTTCAGACTGAAAATTAACAACAAAAAAAAAATATATATGTTACTGTTCAAAGAATTAAAAATGTTCGCTGAATAGGTTAAACAATTCAAAAGATGATTAGATATATTATCAGATACAGAAACATTAATCCAATACATCAAGATAAGTGCTTTATCTAAGCAATTAAGCAATGTTGTGACTGGTGTTACAAATTCAATTATCATTGAAGCAGATTAAATTCAGCCTCTTTTATTCTTAGAGTTTAGAATGAACAGAGAGCAAAAACAGAATTTAACTGCCATATATGAAAAGAAACCTTCAAATGTCATGAATTTCCAGACTGCGATTTCCCCAGTCGCAGATCATGGTGTTCCGGACACATTCTCCATACTGATGACATCACTCAGCCTAATTAACAGTGCCAAGTTAATTCATGCAATCATTTGCGTGTGAGTAACATTGACAGAGGGATGCAGACAGTGAAATGACATCTTATTTACAAGAGACGGGTAGCATAATCGTGTTATCGCCGCAATGCCCTCGCATAAAGAAACCCACACACTGTCTTGATTTACGTAAATAAAAATGAATGGTCACAGTGAGTCATTAAAAAAATTAACTGAGAATTGCGAAACTGTAAAAAAAAAAAAAAAAAAAACTGTTTAGGCTTCGTTTCCAAGAGGAAATGGAAATGCACAACCTTCCCCCGAACAATCTGTCAGTCTGAAGTTCAGCACGAACAGCCTTCACAAAATGTCTGATCTTTTGACACGAGACTTTATCAAGGTTATATCAGTGTCTCGTTCACTTTTGATCTGCTGACACTCTTTCTCTCTCTCTCTCTTTCTTTCTTTCTTTCTCTCTCTTTCACTCTTACTCTAACACTCTCACAAGCATACACACACACACATAATGCACAGACTTTGGTCTTCACAAACCGAAGGAGAGGCAGGGATCTATTGAATTTCTGACATTAAGAGGACATATGTTTCAGTGGCAAAATATTTTCAGGATTAAACAGTCTAATTGAACAGCTTGAACATTATAGAACAACAATTTCTTCCTCTCACAGCAAAACATGCGCAAAATTCAGGGTAATCCTATGTAATATCATATCAGCCTATTTCTCCCATCAGTGGATGCTTATAGTCTCAAAATAAAATCTATCAGCTCTTAAACCAAACAGGACGCAATAAACAGTTTTGTGTCCTTCTGCTAGCAGGTCACAGAATGGTATTCTGTACTATGAAAGGCTTATGCTGTCTCAGAACAGGAGTTTCTGAATTCAGATCTGATGTCTGCTTCAATTGAAGCTTCCTCCATTATGAAATAAAAAAAGCAAAACTGACCCTAGATCAGAATGTACTGTATTTGCTTCTACCACCAACCGATTTTTAAGGCCGTCTTTAATGAGGTGAAAAGTGATGGAGATTCTGGAGGCCAACAGATAAAAACGAGGCCAGTGGAATTACAAATAACGGGGGGAATGGGGTCAAGCAAAAATCCCTCTGGAGGGCCCAAAAATCATAGCTAATAAGCACTGAGCAAGTGGCAGAAACTCAAGGCTGTTTTATGCTTGTAGATATATGTCAACAAACATCTTAAGAAAAGCGTTGGACGATACAGATTCTTTAATGCTTAAACGAAGTGTTGGACAACATCTTCGGCGCAAGCTGTCATCTCCATCGTAATTCTATATTTGTTTCTATCATCTACCATTCTTTAAGTGAACGCAAACATATCAACGTTCTGCATCCATGACAACCACCAAATTCTCGGTCCACCCAGCCAATTAAAACATTAGACAACCAACGACAGCGCCTGCGACGTTGCAAATATTTGACAGGTGCAATGCGCTCTGGAAGGACACTTTGTGTCTCTCCGACACCATTTTGGACGTCGCATACAGTCGACAGACACCTCTCTTACAAGTATAAAACGGACTTCAGTCCAACGGTGCGAGGAGAATAAATGGAGGCGGGGTTTATAAAAGAGGTGGGGTCCTACCTGGGGCAGGGCGGAGCTGAGCTGCCGCTGCAGCGAATCGCGGTCGTAGATGACGTCCTCCAGGTGCTGCTGGGTGAGCCCCAGGCTCTCCTGCGTCTCGCGGAGCGTGTCCAGCAGCCGGTCCCGCTCGTCTAGCATGTTCACCATCAGCTGCTCGAAGTGCGAATCCGGGTCCGAGGGGCCACTCTGGGAGCCCCGCTGGCTGAGGGCCGTGTCCTCGCTAATAGTGGGCATTACCTCGCACATCATCTCTCCCTGCGGAAGGGGAGGGGGAGGGAGAGGGAGCAGGGGGGAAGTCAACAGCAGGGTCATTTTCAGTTTCAAATGCGGAAGGGGGGGGGTATTGAGTTTATGTTACAGCCGTTTGTAAAAGCGACAGACATTGAGATGGGGTCAGAGCGGGCCAACAACCAAATGACTGTCAAGGGTCTAATTCGCGTTTTTTTTTTACGATGTCCGTCTTCAAATATATGAAACTAATCATGTTTTTTATTACCCTTCTGTCCTTTACCAACGGAATCTTCTGAATATTTCATGACGGGTAAGTTGCTGTTTTTCATTGCATTTTCAAACAAATAAAACAAATCATGTTTAATTGCATTGGACTACTTTTATCAATTAAATCTTTATGGGAATATTGATTTTGGTAATGTCTTTTTCTAAAAAAACAACAACAACAAAAAAAGAATTACTTTTTATTGCCATTTATTACTTTCATTAATGGAATACTTGGGAAAGACAATGATGGGTAATTAAGGTATATTGTTTTCTTTTTTTGCAATATCTTTTTCAAATATATAACACAATTTCTCAATGAAATCATTAGGATATGTAGTATTTTTATTGCCATTTACTATTTTCATTAATAGAATATTTGGGATAGGCAATAATAGGTAATTTAGGTGTATTATTTTCTTTCTGCAACATTTTTTCAAATATATGACACAAGTTTTCAATGAAATCATTGGGATACTGCATGTAGTGCATTAGTGTATCTTCGTATTTTCTTAACGTGACTTGTATAACTAGGCAGGATTATCGAGTTAACTAGATAACTGCAGGCAGTGAAACACAGAACAGCTTTTTAAACATTAGTACATGATTTAGATTTGAGAGGGCTTTATCAAGTGCAGTTACCTGGCTAATTCAGGCATCCTGCTTCATTACACAGGGGAAGGGGCAGTGAACAAGATATTGACCTTTATTAGGCTAATTTAACAGGACTCATATATTTAATCAACAGGTTTAAACTGACAAGGCATCTCAGATAAATGAGAATCCCAGTTTTCTTAGGTTACCAGTACCTACATAATATAAAATGCCCAGGCATCAAATAAACTCGGGGACACAAATGGAAGTTAGCCAAGAGTAAATTTAGCACGATATGAGGAAATATTTTTCACGCTGAGAGTAATCTCAGGGTGGAATAGCTTGCCTGACCACATTGTTGAGGCAGAAACCTTGGGAGTTTTAAAGAGCGGGCTTGATTTAGCGCTAGATACCATTTAGTCATCAAGTATCTGAAGCGTTAGATTCACTATAGTGACAGGAAAATGGCGAGCCTAGTAAGGCCGGATGACCTGTTCTCATCACTCATGTTATGTTAAATATGACCAAAGCAGACAATTT